TTGTCTAGCGTGTAAGACATTTGAATATAGGACCCTTCCATATAAATTTAAGACTGAAATTGGAACATAATTCACCAGAACATTGAGATAAATAAAGAGAAACTGCGCATGTACTTTTCCTTCAGCCAGTCGGTCATACATGAGTTTGTATGTTAATATACCACAAGTACAAATGAAGAAAAAGAAGTTATAAATTCAAACTCATATCTTGATTAAGTAAACAAAGTTAACACGATAGAATGATGATTCATATAGTTACATTGTCTAGGGTGAGTTGAAAGTTAAATGATCCATACTGTTCTTGTATAGCATATTAATACCTATCAACAAACTTACAAATACATAGGCCATTAGTGACAGTTTGCTTGTCCAAAATTCCAATAGTGTTTTATAAGGTCTGAAAGTAATTACATTACAGCTTCTAAATAAACTACTTATAGTCGCTAATGAATTTAATCCACTGCAGAAAATTCTTCATATTGCCATTGGTGCTCATATAGAGAGAAGTGTACAATTCTAACACATAAGATACTTAGAGCAGACTAACACAAAAGCAAGTTGGGGTGAGTGAAGAAATACTGACCTCTTCATTAGGAGAAATGCTCACTCGACAAACATTGGCAATGATTTTAAGGGCATCTGAAACCCTCAGCAGTGTTGCAAGTCCTCGAACTAACAAGGTATATGTAGTAACATCAGGCCTTGACCACCTCCATCTATCATAGGATGGGCCTCTGTCTAAAACAGTCGTCCCTTAAATATGGGCAAGTCAAGTCCATCAATATTGGGGGATATCAATGAAATCTTGTCACAAGATACAAGAGAATAATAGTGAGAGCAGTACTGCATATCATAAAAACTCAGGATGACAGGTTCCACGTCTTTTATTAATCTCAAATTCATCATATCTGAAAGCTTAAATATATTACCTAAGGAGGTTGCTCAAAGCAGTGATGCCACCCTTATAGAGGTGGGTGAGGTGATGGAGGGATATATAATTTGAAGAGCTGGTTTGCTAAAGAAAATCACATTATAGTTTAAAATGTAAATTACTTAATCAACTTAAAGTCTTGAAAGTTGAAAATTTATAAGTATATGAACTGAATGGTGTCAAACAACTCAAAACTGATGGACTCACCTTTTAATGAGAGTGAAAAAGCTTTTATCAAATTCACAAGTCATTGAGCAACACAGAAGTTGATTATTTCTTTTTCCTTTGATACCAAAAAGGCAATGATCAAACATGTATTGTGGATTCACTTCCTTAAGAATAATTGTTTTCCTTCAATACGCTAGTGTAAACGGACATTTAGTTACTTCGCATCACATACATCACCAAAATTCCAACTCCAGATGGAAATAATGGACAAATTTCAACCCCACGAAAGCAAACCTCTTCCACTTATTTAGACATCACAAGCAACACACAAAACATTGCATCATTCCATATCTCCTCAACTCTTGGGAAAGAACCATAAAGCATTCACCTTTCTTTCAAAACCACTGAACCCACTACCCCCAACAACCCATAAAAGAGGAAAAAACACAAAATAGAAAAAACCATATTCAAATACTCTCTCCGTTTCAATTTATTTCTCTTACTTTCTTTTCTAGTCAGCTCCAAAAAGAATGTCTCTTTCCTTATTCAACAACTCCTTAATTCTAAACTTTACATGTAGCATATTATAAACCAGATTAAAGAACATTTTGATACATTTCACATATTCAGAAGTCTTCTTTATTTTCTTAAACTACCTATCGAGTCAAAACAAGGGAGTATCAATTAATATTTCTTCATGACCATAATAAATGAGCAATCTCAAAGCTAATAGTATCTTCTCTTAGTTCCTTCCACATTTGAATTGATTATATTAAAAAAGAAAGAAAATGTACCAGGATCAAAAGTGGAACGCATAGCATCAAACACAGAGATTGCCAAGTCAGCATTGCTCCGATCAAGTGCGGCAGCGATAATCAAACAACAATCAGAACAACTAACAACTCCACCACTTCTCCCAGTCTTTTGAGCTATCACATCCAATACCTCACTCGCATCCTTCGCAGCGGAAACCAAACTAATCAATCCATCATCTAACAACTCCGACACCTTTTTCTCACCTTCAGCTTCACTCAACGAAGCTTTCACCTTGAAGTTAGACGTTTTAGAGGAACAATAGTAGGAAAAAGTGAGGTTTTTGGAGAAATGGGAAGTAGAAGAGAAGAGGAAAGAGTAATTTGTGGGGAGACGGGGAAAGGAAGGAGAAAATAAGGAGAGAGTCATGTGTTTGGAGTTGTGAGAGGCAAATAATAGTGAGGACTGTTTGCTATATGCTCTGCTATAGATAAGGAACAAGAGGTTGTTATTGGGAGGAAATATTGAACCCGGGTTGGAGTGGAGTGATACTCTTTCAACCTTAACGCAAAGGTTTCAGATTCGAGTCCATTTAGATATGAAGTCCCCTATATTAGGAAATCGACATAAATTCAAATTTAGTCGAGTTGAGTCTCCTTTGTTCGAATTTAGTCGAGTTGAGTCCCTTTTGTTAGGGAGCCGATGTGAATCCAAATTTAGTCGAGATCCAATGTGGCTACCCGACACTGGATGGAAAACCAAAAAAGAAGAGGGGGAATATTGGGAAGTGGTACTCTTTCAACCTTAACGAAGAGGTATCAGATTTGAGTCCATTAGGGTACTAAGTCCCCTGTGTTAGGAAGCCGACATAAATTCGAGTTGAGTCCCCTTTGTTAGGGAGCCGATGCGAATCTAATGTGGGTACCCGACACTGGATGGGAAACCAAAAAAGAAGAGAGGGAATATTGGGAAGGTGGAAAAAGGGGAATTAAGAAAAATGGAGGTGCGGGGAATCGAACCCCGTGCCTCTCGCATGCGAAGCGAGCGCTCTACCATATGAGCTACACCCCCATGATGTTAATAATAGCCAATAAATGTTACTTAGCTTTATTAATTTTGACCCGCTTAAAAAAATAAAGGGATCGTCAGGTTTTTCTTTTTTACTTAAAGGAATAATAATTTGAAGAGCTGCTCTGAGGGTAGTCCGCCGCCAGCTGCCGCTTGTTCATCATAGCATATAGGAGATCATCAGTTGCTTGCCCTTGGTTCTGATATGCAGTCAAACAGCAAAGATCTGCTTCACTTGGAGACTGAAGGCTTGTCATTGGAATCAAAACTTCTCTTTTGCACTAGTGATGGTGGATCTCAATCCCTAAATTTGAAACCTGAAATTTCTTCTGTACCCAAAAGCCAAGTTTTAACAAAGGTCAAGGATTTTTTGGGAGTATTTTTGGAGAATAATAGAAAAGTGGAGATTGAAGCTAAGAAGAATCCTGAGAAATATGATATTGAAGCTCTTACTGGTGAAGAATCTGAATACATAGAGATGGACTTAATGTTGGGTGTTGCTGAACTTCACACACAGGAGGCTATATCAGCTGCTGAATCTGCAATAGCAAGTTACCAACCAGTAATCGATCTGGATACCAATGATACGACAGAATCTGAAGACAGTAGCGATGAGGATGATACCAGCAAAAGTGATGATGGAGCTTCTTCTCTAGGAAAAGAATCTAAGCTTACGGAAAAGGATTCTCCTAAGAAAGCATTGAAGAGGAAACGACAGTCCGTAAATCGAGCTAACATAGTTGAGCTCTCTTAGCGCTAAGGACATTAAACAATTGTAGCTTATTTTTCTCACAGAACATAGTAAAAGTGTGCTTCTCTTCCATCTTCCTGTTTTAGTTCTACTCTTTTATTAATTAAGGGGCCATTGGAGGGCATGTTATTCATGTATAAAAAAAGCTATGTATTAGTTTTACTATGTTTGATAAAAGTTTTTTATTAGGTTGAAAAAAAAAATCAAGAAAAAATACTGAATTATTTATTGCATTTTCAAATTTTACTTGTGAGATTATACTAAATATGTTATTGTTATAATTGTATTATTTTTTATCATATTTAAAGTTCTTGTCACACACATAAGTTAGTGTAATATTTTTCTAAAAATTTTATCCTAGTGTTCAAAAAGTGGAGTCACGTATCCATTTTAGAGAAGAAAAAAAAATTTGTAGTTAATGTGAGATGAAAGAGTATATGTGTAGGTCTATGTTTTGTTTTTGGAAATACATTATGCGCTCCAACATGCGGCATAACTCGTGGGATATTGTTATACAAAAACATAATTTTATGTTCATGTGACATAACTTGTGGGATATTGTGATACAACAAAAACTTAACGTATGTCCATCCCACAAAACTTGTGGGATATCGTGATACAAAACTTAAACTTATGTCCATGCGATAAAACTTGTGGCATATTGTGATACAAAAACATAAACTTATGTTCATACGACATAGCTTGTGTATTATGATATGAAAATAAAAATTATGCCCTGTGAAAAAATTGTTTGTTATTTCAGGTCACAGGCATAACTTATCTGATATTATATAATACAAAAATATAATTTATTCCCCACGAAAAAGTTATTTTTTATTTCGACATTAGGTATATTTCCATCCATTTAAGTTTTGAAGGGCAAAACTTAAAAGAACTATCATATTTGAGGTCAGAAAATTAAAACTACCCCAAAATAGGGGCATTTGTGCTAATGATCCATTTTACATAGCACTGAATGGGTCTTATAACCTTGCAACAACAACATCAACCAATATGCTCATCAAAATGCATCTTTAGAAGCTAAGCCTCCTATTTCTGATCAAATAACATCTCAAAAGAGAAAAAATCAAGAAATTTCCATTAAAAACTTACCTCATTCACAACATTATTTGCATTGAAACATGCTTCTTTCATTCATTTTTCTCCACAGTTTAACAAGTACTAAACTCATATGCTTTGAAAATGCCTTGCCACAGAGAGCCAGCAAGCTCTCCTTCATTATGTAGATACCAAGCTTAAAGTTGTGCATGACAAGATCAGCACAATCCTTAGCATCTGCTGAAACTAATTTATCGAATGTTAACCTTAATGCTTTACAATGGCTGTATGCTAGACTATGTACAGAATGCACTGGCTAAACGCTAAAATGTTGTAGTGGAAGTTTGGAGAAGTGATATATATGTTTCTGCTTCCGAATCTGGCTTATATAGTGACGCTGTTGCTGATAATAGCAGATCATGTCAATTCCTAGTCAACTCATTAATAGTTGCTCAGTCAGATCGCAGTTTGCAATCACTCCGTAATGCTTCCAACCACGAATCAACCTGAAAAGAAAAGGATAGCAACACATAGAGCAAGGAAATGGAAGATGAAAAGGAATTGGCTATGTTTGTATATATACATCAGATAATAGTTTTCCACGTTATTTGAGATGGGAACAAACGAAGGATACCATTGGGCTATTTTACAAATTTATGCTAATACGTAGCTATTCTGACGCTAGAGAATGCTACTTATTTAAGATTAGTCCTTAAATGCTTTTAACCTAATATGTAGAGTTTTCAAAACCACTTATGAGTTCAACAGATTACAAGTGAATGTTTATCAAACATACTGATCCTGTCATATGTTACACAATTGTCCAGTCCAATTGTTTAGACATGACTTGACTCGCAAAAATCTAATCACTATAGGAAAATAATTCTGAAATATGTGATGTGTAATACTTTTAATACTACTCAAAAGGCACTAGGTGTGTTGAAACAAAGTTAACATCCAAAAGGAGGTGTATATAAAGCATATGAACAAGCACGGTCTATTCAGAAATCCTCAACTTCCAAACTTGACCAATTCGGGAACTTAAACATACTCATCAACCCAAACAAATTCAAGACAGAGATCAGAATAGTTATTTGCACATTGCAATAAAGGATCCAGAAAAAGAAAACCATTACCTTTATCTTAGAATTACTAGAGCATTCATATTTCAGTCCATAACGAGTTGAGATATAAAAGCAATATCGTTTGTCCTCATTGTCTCGTATCAGGCAAGGTAAGGTTCCAACTTCAACTACATCAGATAGAAGGGTTGAATCCTGGGGGCTTAGATCTGCAAACATGTTATTCAAAATTAATCAAGAAATAGCATATCTGTTACATCAGGAAACATCGGAATATCCAAATTTATCAAAATAGAATAGGACAGAATCAGAAATACTTTAAAAAGATAAACCAAAAGGAGATACAATACAGACTGCAGCTAAACTTTGGAAGTATTTTGGAATGAAGTTAATGAAAACAAAGCTAAGCCATTAAATCAAGAGAAGATAATAGGAACACATAACAGATCATCAAGAAACAGCAGATGCCAATATGAGGTGGGATATTTCAAGATTGAGCTATTCCGAATAGGTAAGGTAATTGCTACCCCAACCACAGATGTTTTCCCCTGCTCTATCAGCATAAGCAGAGGTAAAGGCCGAGGAAAGGAAATTTAGGCCATGCTTGGCCCAAAAGTTTTCTTAAGAACCCTTTAGCTTTCTAAAACAAAGTTCTTTTTCTGGTGAAAACACATTTGTTCTCCATGAAACAGAAGAAAACCCTTCTAGAAAACCAAAGGACTTCCTTTTGGTTTGAATCAAACTATACTTCCACAAAAACCAACAAACTGTTAATGTATGATTACTTTGATCCCCCTTAATGGTGTAATTTCGTATTATTTCACTTGGCTTTTTTCCCCTATTCTTAGGCTATAGATTCTTTTTACCATTAGATAAAGGAATTTTATTAATGACATATAGCAGTAAGACTATGACATGTACATCTAAAAAGCCAAAGTATATTCCCTTCTAGTTGTATATGGAGTCTATAAAATCCACCAAATTTTTAACATCAAGTAGATATACAGCAAAATGATGCAATTCAACTTAATTTTAAAGGTGGAGTTTGTTGCCCTTGAAGCATCTCAGATTCCTTTTTCTCCAAAATATCCACCACATACAAACTGAGATTTTGTTTTGTTAGAATATCCTATATTGGTTGAAGGAATATGTTGTTGTATCCTTATATCCTCATCTCACAAGTTTATACATCTCGTGTAGAAGAAATATGGGCATCTCGTAATAGAGAAACATATATATCTCACGTAGAGTAACACTGACATCTCAGATTCTTCTTTGGCCAACAGGTATTGGTCTGTATGTCAACACTAACTTTTATATTAGTGGTGCTTTTCATTGGTAGCTTTGAGGTTGAGTTAGGCCCAATGTCCATTTTCTTATCATGGTATCATAGTCAGACTCATTCCTATTCTTGGTTTACTCAATACTGGCCATGTTATATTGTCCGTGCTTCAAATGTCCAACCATACAACATGTGGTGGAGAGGGAAGAGACGAATGCTAGAATGTCACACATTGGTTGAAAAGTTGTTGTATCTTTATATGGTTGCGAAAAACTTCAACTCATGACTTAGCTTTTGAGATTGAGCTACACCAACATCCATTTTCTTAACATGTTCCATTAGTATCTTCAAACACTTGCTCTACGCGGATGATACTCTTTACTTTTTGTGGGACAGAGAAGTCTCAGGTGCGATATCTCAACCTAACACTACTCCTATTTGAAGCAATCTCCGGGCTACATATTAATATGCAGAAGAGTAAGATCTACCAAGTAAATGAGGTCCCTAATTTGGAAGAACTGGTTGGCATCATGGGTTGTAGCATTGACACATTTCCAACAAAATACCTAGGTTTCCCTTTGGGAGCAAAGTTCAAAGATGCAGGAGTTTGGAATGAAGTTATTGAGAAAATGGAGAGAAGGTTGGCAACTTGGAAGATGCAATATCTCTCAATGGGAGGCAGGTTGACTCTTATCAAGAGTGTACTTGACAGTATCCCCACATATATTATGTCAATGCTCCCAATACCATCCAAGGTACAGAATCAAATTGACAAAATCAGAAGATCTTTTTTGTGGAAGGGGAGCTATGAGGGCCATAAGTTCCATCTTGTGAAGTGGGAAAATGTAATTATGCCAAAGCAACACGGAGGTTTGGGAATCAGAGATTTAAAGAAGAACAACAAGAGCCTGTTAATGAAATGGTGGTGGAGATATGCTCAAAAACCAACAGGTATCTGGAAAGAGGTAGTGAATGCCAAATATGGGAGGCAAGACAAATGGAGCACCAAGCAGAACAATGATCCTTATGGAGTTGGACCTTGGAAGTACATTAACCAGCTAAGGGAGGAGTTCTTCCAAGAGGTGTCCTTCAGGATTGGAAATGGGAACTCATTTAAATTTTGGAAAGACAGGTGGCTCAACAATCAACCTCTCAATGTCTCCCACCCTGCTATTTACAGGATAGCCTCTACACAGACTCTTCAGTGGCTCAAAACAGAGAAGGTGGATTATGGGCACCACCCACGCTTTAGAAGGAATTTTCAAGACTGGGAGCTTAATGAGCTCTTTGATTTTTTCAGAATTCTAGAAGGAGCCTCAATGACCCCTCACTTGCCTGATTGCTTAAAATGGGGCAACTCTGAAAAAGGAATATACACAGTGCAGGAAGGATACCATAAGTTGTGCTCTTCAAATGCCATGATAGACCAGTGGCCATGGAAACTGATTTGGAAGACTAGACTACCCCCTAAAATCAAGTGTTTCACTTGGACTACCCTCAAGAATGCTATCCCAACCCTGGACAATCTAAATAGGAGGAAACTTCAGCTAGTAAACAGATGTTTCATGTGCCTCAATAGCCTGGAATCAGTGAATCATTTGTTTCTGCACTGTCCAGTGGCAACAGCTCTTTGGAATATGTTTATTTCAATTGCTGGTATCAACTGGATTCTCCCGCAAAGTGTCAAAGAAGTAGTTGGAAGTTGGAGTCTTAGAGAAGTTGATAGCCCCATCAAGAAGACCTGGCAGATGATTCCATCATGTATTTTTTGGTGTATTTGGAAGGAAAGGAATCTCAGATGTTTTGATGGTATCTCAACTCCAATTAGCAGTCTGAAATCCTTTTGCCTTATTAGTCTCTTCCATTGGAGCAACTTATCCCCTGTAAATGATATATTGCCCTATTAGATTTCATTAGCTCCCTCAATATGGCTTAGCGACCATCCTTTTGCTTGTGGTTAACTCCCTGATTAAATAGGTGTTTTTGTTCTCAGGAGTTAACCATATTTTTGTGTTGTAATTTGCATCTTCTTGATGCCTTTCTAATACAACATCTTACTTCATCAAAAAAAAAAAAAAGTGTCCATAGACATTACCGATTTCAGCACCAAAATGCTCAATAACAAATGCCATAGTTGATACAGCTATGTCAGGGAAGGTGATTGATGTTTTCAGCTTAATCTCCAAAATAATTGATGTATGCTGCAGAGATGAATGCCTCTCCTTTGGACATTCTGTTGTGTCACCAAAAGAAGCAGGCTACTTTGTGTAGTGTTCTAGTTTTCCATATTTGTTCTCCAAGACCATGTATGGCTCTAGTTTCACTTGCTATCAGTGAGTTATAGCAAGTAAATACCACTTGTCCTGCAATCTTTTCAAATCAAATTATCTGCTGCACTAGGAAGTCCTTGAAATGCCTCCAAGTTTTGGTGGTTTTCTTTCATCCTCTTCACCTTCGAGTTGTTTTAGTTTCTCTTAAACATTATGCTCCAGCCATTGCCAATTTTAAATCAGTGATCAGGATCAGACTGACTAAGGGGGTGTTTGGATAAGCTTTTTTTAAGTGACTTAAAAGTCAAAAGCCAAAAGTCAAAAGTAGGTCACTTTTTAAGCCTAAAGTGAAGTGCTTTTAAGCACTTGGTATCTTTGCCAAACACCTCTAAAAATTTAAAAGTGCTTAAAAGCCAAAAGCACCTAAAAATATGTCAATCCAAACACCCTCTAAATACGGAGACACCATCTTGTCAGAATCTTAGAAATGTCTCAAGTGCTAGAATGAAATTAGTATCTGGTCGAAAATATAAGATGTGGATATCTTATCACACCTAAAAATAGGTGTCTCTTGTATTCCAGGATAACCATATCTTCAGTAGATATACTTCTCTCAACCATACTTTCATAACCATTTCTACAAGCAAAGTCTTATTCAGCAACCTCACATATCTAAATCCCATTCGGTCCCTTCACTTTGGTTGTTGCAACAGTGCTCCATCTTACCAAGTGATAAGCTTTCATTTCCTTGCTGTCCTACCATAGAAAATCTCTCCCAAGTTTATCCAACTTCCTCTCCTTCTTAACAGACATAGAGAATAGTGACATCACATTTGTTGGTAGTGAGTCTGGCACTGTTATAAGGGCTAGCCATTTGAATGGACCCCTCCAAAAGATAGGTTTGTCTAGTCTTCCATTCTTCTTTCATATCTTTTCACCATCTCCAGTCATATACTGCTTCTACCATTTTTATTGTTGTTTCTGTTACAGTCTCCATTTCAGTCTATTTAGCAAAATGTTTAGTTGACCTTGAAACATTGTTGACATAATATATGAATATTTCACCACCTGGTAGAAAGGTGTGGGATTTAGTAAAACACTAAAAATCGCGATCTCTAGTTCCTATTATCACAAACCAGTAAATCTTGACTCAACAAAAACGTCTAGGAGATACCAAGTAATTCAAGGTGGTCCATTAGGTTGTAGTAAATACCAGTGAAATCAGCATAAACTTCTAAGATGTCATTTAAGGAAATCTTCTCATAATGTAACATTCAAAGTTGTCTAATGGAAGGTCTCGGCAAAAAAATACAGTGTGATAGTACACCAAAAGGCTTGGAATAACATATTTATACAGTAGTTGCAGAGTATCCTGAAAGGCATGCTAGTAGAATCTTTAACTGTTGAAAAAGTCACCTGTGCATGACGAATACCAGAAGATACACGATCCCTGAAGGACAAAAAATCTAGGCAGCCAATCATCAACATCAGTGTCATCAACTGGAAGAGGTTCTCCGGGTAAAGTTGCCCATCTCTATTAATAAAAAAAAAACAGAATAAAATTGTGGAACAAATATGTAAATCCAGTGTAGTATTGTCTGAAGTCCAAACAATGTTAAGATGATGACAGCTGTTGGCCTATTAATACCATTCTCATGTCCAAATACCCCGAAAGTCGTGCAGCCCGTACGACTTCATCAATGTGTTCTAATCTGTGAAGAGAAAAAAAAAAACAATGAAAATCAAAAGACAATACTCTTTTGACAGATCAATCACCTTTTAGGATTGAACATGTTATTTTCGAAGTATTTGCAAGTATAAGCTGAGAATAGCTAGTAGAATTACTCTTAGTGAGGCTCTTGTCCTCTTTGTAACAATTTCGTTGTGATATTGTGTAGGACTAGTGGGTGATCCTTGAACAGTACTTCACATTTGTGAAAGAAGATCTCTCTTTTTTCTTCAAATAGGGACTTGGCAACTGTTTATATAATGTTTTGTTCATTATTAGGTGATAATATCATAACAAAATTAAGAATACGAATATTTACTCAAGATAATTTTCCAATAAGGGATTTTGGGAGACTGTTAGAGAAAGCATTTACATAGATAAATCATGTCTTCTCATTTTTTGGGGAAGCCAGTCATACTATATAAAATTTTCTACTGGTGAAATTTGAAACGGATTTCCCTATGCTTAGAAATGTAATAATTACACAGTCATGTTTTCAATTACACCTAGTGTTTTCTAGTTTTAGAATCAGGGATCTGTCCCAGTGAGGAGGCCTTTCTCTTTTTTTTTCTATTTTTTTTTGAAACTGATAAGATTGTATTCTTCAGCATTAAGGGCATGCTGGTCACCACCAAAAAGTGTCAGTTACAAGCTTCCTATCAAATCTACGTGAGGAGGCCTTTATCCTAAAGTACATTCACATCTCTGGCTCTTATTTCTATTTTTGTTTTTTATTTATCCATTCAATTATTCTAGATAGATCGCTGCAACCAGATTTGATGCAGCAACCTAAAATTGATTCCTCTTGTCGAGGTGTTTCATAATTGGACATTCTGAACCCATCTAGGATTTGGAGATACATTACGCTGCTTTTCCATTAGATAATCATCATTTCTCTACCTTTAATAAATGCTTTGTTTGAACGGAAAACGAAACTGCAGCAATATTCCATGTTTTTAACACAATTCAACTCATGAAAAATAAACTAAATAAAAATGGTGCAACTAATTTTGGCCCTATTCTATTTACATTTTCAGGTCGTCCCACTAGCCTTCTCCACTTAAATGCCAAACTTGATTCAGCAGCGGAATTCGAACTCGTGACCTGAACCAACAGCACATCCCATGTCGTACTACCTTTGCCGTTGAACCAAAGCACGCTTTGGCCTCAAAGCCTTGGGGTCACTTTTGTTAAAGTTGAAAAGATACGAATCAGTGAACATGTTCATATTACACTGATAATACACTTAAACAGAGATGAGTACTTATGCTTTTTAATTCTCAAATTGATATTCACAGCTATCGCACATGATGACCTATGAAGATCCTCACACGCATTAGGGATTGAACATAGTGATGACAAACTATTGTAACCATATGAGCTAGAAATAACTATAACCAAACCAACCTACTAAATGCCTGGGAGACCCTACTCAGTCTCACAATAAGAAATTAAAAGCAGAACACTATCAAAGGGGAAGCAACCTTATACACAGTTATATATAAGGAAAAACAGAATAGGTCACATAAGGCACAAGCGAGCCCATAAAGGGGGGTATCAAATCTTACTGAGCTTTGCAATGAGCTTCTCTTTCTTCCAAAGCACCGAGTTCTGATCGAAGAGATTCTACTTCTGCAGCAGTTAAGACTACCTGCAAGATGTGATAATATCTGTAATGAGTAATCTTTCCCTTCCCCAACCCAAAGACAATGATGACCTTCAGAACAATTAAGTAAGAAATAGCAAGCTAAACAGTTAGCAGGCAACTACAAATAACATGTACCTTTTCTTGACCATCTGTGCCAGACATCCAAGGTAGCTTGTTGAGGCTAAACATATTCAACATTGAAGCAGCCCCTTTCAATTTTCTTCTAGTCCATGATCTACTAATGGATCTATTCTAATACGGGAGAAGCCAAATAAAACAAATTAAAAAAGTGAATTCCTTGAAAAAATGTGCAACTCCTCTCCACCTCAAATGTCCTTTAGAAGATATACCTTAAAGAATCATTACTTCCGATATATTTAGATAAAGCTGGGCTCTGCATGGAGTCTTCACCAGATGTTGAAGCTTGAAAATGATCTTCAAACACCTCTATTCCTCGAGGACCATCACCCATGATTGTTTATGTTTGCCAGCAACTCTAAAATTGGAAGTGAAACCAGAATTACAATGTATAATCAGCATTCCCAACTTTACAGATTCCAACCTCATAGTAGGAAAAAAAATACTTTCTATGATTATAGTTAATTATCTTTAAAGATTCAGAAGAATGACAGTTGTCTATGGTTCAAAGATGACATGTCATCGGCAGTGTATTGAGATTTATGGCTCAAATCACTGCAGGGTTTGCCTTATATTTTCCTGTGTTGCTTCTTTCTTCCCTTTTGCAAACCACTTCCCATATGGTTTCAAGTTTATTATGTGTTACCATAGCTTCCTACATATTCAATCCCTCCCACCAGGCTACCATGACAGGATTTGTGCAACATCAAGATTTTCAATGCCATTTCAAAAAAATTATGTATGATAACCTACTTTGACATCAGATTCCGCATTAAATAAGACTGCTATCCAGCTAGAAAAAAGGTATTTGATTTTGATCATCTTGAAAACACTTAAAGTAAGATCACTTATTTTCCTTGTAGACAAAGCCACTTCTAGGATGGAATACATGAATGGACCACAACCTCTTTATTCAAAATAAAAACCCCAAGAGTACAAGGAGTGGCACCTAAAATCCTCCTATTAAAGTAACCAATAGCAGCCTGTCAATGACTAGTATCCCCTACGAATACCGAACGTTAGTATGTAAGCTCGATAATAAGTTTCCTTAGATGGAGTAGCGGGGGATTTTTCCCCACTTTATAACTGTAAGATTTCCATCATTTTAAGTCCACGGAAAAGGAGAAAGGGACAGAGGTACCCAACACATTTATCCTCAACCTATCTGTCATTAGTAATTTCAATTCGATTGTTCTATCCACTAGCACACCGCGCAATATAACAAGCAGCCCTTACTAGTAAAAAGGGTAAAACCCCATTCCGAATCCTAAACAACATAAACCCAAGGGTATGGCCTAGCAATAGCAGATCCAGCATTTTCACTCAAGGGTTTCGAAATGTAAAAATGTAGTTCATGGACTTTGAACTTAGAACCCCAGGTGAATTTTGAACCCCTAAACCACTAAGTCAACCTTTAGTCTCATGTTCAGGCAGGTGAACACCCTCCAGACCCCCTAAATTTCCCCCGTAGACCTAGTGGTCAATAAAGTGGATCGAGAATCATAAACTCTCATGTTCAAATTACCACAGAAGCAAAAACACTAGGCAATTTATTCTCTTCTATCCCGGCCTTAATAGACAGAGTTACCAAGTATTTATGCCGATGGGAGCTAGCAGATACTCGTAAATCATAAAAAATTCCAAAACATACACATCCCAATAAATTCAAGAATCTTATTTCAAATTAAATAAAAAAAAACACAAACTTGAATTAAGTGACCGTACAGAAGAAGCACAAACTCTTAACACAAAGTACAGCAAACTTTCACCAAAGCTAAAAAGTTGAAGTCTTCACTAATATATTGTTAATTATCCATACAACATGAAATCCCAAAAAGAGCTTCACAACTCAAAATTTTGATCTTGTTTTTTCTCACTACAACAAGAAAAACAACCCAAATTCAAGAAAACAGTATATAATCTGAAAAGAAGAGAAAATACCTGAACCTGTTGGGTATTGATATTTGATCAGACCAAGTTTTTTTGCAGGGGAAGGAGAAAAGTGGTTTGACATAATAGAGACAGCCATATAGGAGAAGGCATATTATTATATGATTGGACAACTAGTTGTTGATTTTATTATGATTTGGTCCCACAATTAAAAAAAAAAAGGTATTTCCTCTATCCATTTTACGTGGCATAATTTGACTTGATACGATGGTTTAAGTAAAAAAAAAAATAAAAAAAAAAATTGAAATTTATGATGTAAAACAATAAGTAGATATTTGTGTTATGGTAAATTATTTCATTAATAATGAATATGAAAAATTTTTAAATTAAATTATTTTTAATAATAAAATGGCATTCAAATTTTTTTTTAAAAAAAGGTATCATGTAAAATGGGAAGGAGAGAGTACTAAATTACGCTTCGTTTGGTTGGGAACTAGTTATTTTGAGATTAATTATCTTGAGATAAGTTATTTCACTGTGTATATGAGATAACTTATCTAATCACTATTACAAAAATGATGAATAAATAATTTAAGGATTACCTAATACCTCCAACCAAACATAGGTTAAAAAATACGTACATTTTATGTTAAAGTTATTATACAATATACTTCACATCAACAATAGCTTGTCAAGTGGTTCATTAAATCACCAACACAGGTGATGGTAAGATAATTGTGGATTTCTCTATCATTAATTACTTGGACTCTAACGTTTAGGTATTGAAAATATATATTAAGGGCGCCGCTTCAGAAATGTTATCCCTGAATCTAAATTAATCGAGGTCTATTATAAATATCGAACACTGATATTATTTTTTAAATCAACACTTATTATTATGAGGAACTGATAAAAATAGCATTTATTAAAAGAATACTTAACTAACAAATACATTTTGTATTACATATATAAAATATACATTTTTAATATATAATATTTAATTAATAAATATAATTATTTTTAATCGATCGATTGAATATGTAATTTGTCCTTATGTTATCACTTATCCAAAACAATGTTTCCAATTCGGGTTGGGTATAGGACCGAATATTGCTTTATTGCTTTGATTTTTGTTAAATCAAAATGTTCTCTGTTTCCATGGTATGAATTATTAGTAGGCGTTTAGCCATAAAAATTAAAATTATTTATTTTATTATATTTTTTAGTTAAATTGTGTTTGATTATATATTTTGTAAATATTATTTAGAATTTAAATGTATATATTTTAAATATGATTTTCAATTTCTAAATATTAGTAAAAACACTTAACTTTATTAATATATCTGAAATATACTATTAAATTTGCTATATAAGAGAATTAACTCAATAAAATAACCATATAATGCCATAAATTAGATTTTATATATAAGCTATTTACATACTATTGCAGTTTATCTTCATCTTCATTTTTATTTAAAAAATTTGAAATTGAAGTTGAAGATGAATATGGAGTTGGGTTTAGTTATAATTTTTGTAAATTATTTGGTATAGGACCATTTATATATATAGTGAAAGTGAAAATAAAATTTTGAGTATATTTCAAATTTCAAATTTCAAATATAATTTTAAATTATATTTAAATTTTGTATGGTTAAATATTAATTTTCAAATAAAATAAAAAATATTTTTAAAAAGTGAATAATTCACATAGCGAAACGGCGAATGCCAGTTAATACATTTTAATATTTCTCATGGTTGAGTGAGAATATAAAGAAGAGCTCGCATTATTTTCTTTTAATTATTTTTTTGGTATTATACGTTGATTTAATTGGTCATTAAGTTTTCATCACATATTTCTCATCTTTAAGTATGTATTCTTAATAATATGCTCTCATTTGTACTTTAACTTCTCATAAGTATCATTTGGCAATGTTCGATCGATAATGCAGTTTTTCAATAAAATTATTAACTTGTCATATAATTATCGCAATCAAATATTCGATAATTTTCGATAACGTAGTTTTTAGATGATAACATGTTAAATGTATTCATTTAAAAAAAAAAGGAGATTAAGGTTATAAATACACTCACTTATAATTGAGATGATGCACTAAATCGATGAGGATCGTAACTAAGTAGACATCTTGAATTTGAACAAATTAATATGGATTGGTGGGTGAAACAATTAAGCATATGAATTAAGGGGTATTAATTAGCAACAATTTGTCCAATCCATTATATTTAAATAAAAGTATACATACATTTAACGATTGAATTCTCACTTAATTACTAGTAGTTATTATTTCAAAAAATCACATTTCTTCTTGATTTCAATTTTTTTAATAAAGAAAATGATTTTATGAAATAATAATTACTATTCGTTAGGTGACTATCTTTAGAAATCTAGTACATCTAGAGACAATGTTTTTTGTCAAAATCTTTATCAGACAAAAAATCAGATATCAAACTTGTTAGTCTTTCAGCACCTGATCCAGGTCGCAATAAAGTTATGTTTGTTACATTAGTATCTCGAAACCAACTACCAGGAACAAAACCATCAGGTTTACGGCCCAAAAGCTCGGAATCAATCTTGTCAAGCACCAATTCGTTCTTCCTGAATTTTCTAGCAAACGGTGCATTGCTATCGACCATTTCCCGATAATCATCCATCGTAAGATAGTGTGGATGTTGCTTCGGAGGATTGTCCCATGCTATATAATGAAGGTCATGGTTCACCGTAGTATTTATAAATTCTTGGACATTGCATACAACAGTTTGAAAATATCCTTCAGGTGAAGAGAGAAAATTAGTATAGTACATTAAGAGTGTCCGCGGGAGGTTGTCCCACCCGGACAATAAGTACTCCACAAAGGGCCGTGAGAGCATCATCCATGCGGATCCTGTATAGATGAAGCTAAAATTTTGAGTTTATAAGTTCTCAATCTCACGAAATAAAAGAAATTTATGTTTGGTATGGTAAAATTGAAATTATTTGTTTTATATTAATCAAACGTCAGAATTATAAACTGTCACCTGTGAATAATTTAAATGATGTTGGCACACTTCTTTGTGGTTCAACAAAGAAGACATTTGATTTGTTCAAGCTGTACAACCCTGGATCAATTATTATAGGCTTGGCTCTATATTCCCTACATTAATAAATAGACATTTGATTAAATCCAATGATTAGTACTAATTATTTAACTAAAGACAGAAGTATTGAAAACTCTCTTAAATTTGACATAAATTACTAGTTTCGTTCCTAAACTATTGACAATCTTAAAAACAGTACTCTCTATTTGTCTAATGAAACTTAGATACACCCCCGATCTGCCAAATGACATAGCAAGTGGTCTCAAACTCTTGTAGGAGCATGAGACTCTTAATTAAAAACTGAGAGAAGTGTTGAAAACACCTGTAAACTTAGCAAGAATTTAGGAGTGTATTTCACTCATATTGCAAGATCGGAGGTTATTCATGTTGAGATTAACTACAACCACTGACAGTGGATAAGAAAATTACACCATCGTTCATTTTTAGAAATACTT